AATTAAAATGGGTGTGTACCATTTTTGATGACAAAAATTAATATTTATAGGTAAATAGTATTTATAAAAAGAAAATATATAGGTATATATTATACATCCTCAGTGGGATAAGATTGCTCCAAGTATTTGAAATTGGTTCTTGGAGGGACATATGTTAGATATTACAATGACTTGTGGTCCTCCAAAGGATTACAGGACATAAACAGACATATATTATATCTGCGCTATTAAAATTTCCTGGGAGGAGGGTAATTATGAATAAAATGTGTAGGGAAGGTCTCCTTGGGGGAAATAATGAACAAAATGTTGAGAAACACTGACGTATATGTACCTGTACAGATATCTGTATATGTGTATATATACATGCACCTTGATGTTCACTGTTTTTTGTTTTGAACAAGAATAGGACATGCGATACTCTATTCTGTCTCTTGCATTTTTCATTTAACATTCTCTATCCCATGTCAATTAGGCTGACACCAGCAAATGCTTGCAGGGGTCAGGTGGCTAACATAAACAAGAAAAATAGGGGTTGGGGAAGAGTGTAGACCATGGTAAAATCGAGAGCCCATGCTCCTTCACAAGAGGCGGCAGCACTCAGCTTCGGGTGACAGTTGCCGTGTGCGAATTTGGGCCCAGTGTCATTGTGTTCTCTGATTTCACAAGCAATACTGGAAATCCGTATTTTAAATGTTGACTATAAATTCCTCATAAGGGTGAACATTATGTGGCTCCCACAGAACATGGCTGCACTAAGAAAACCTGCAGGCCTCATCTCAGACTTCTGGTACAATTCCAACCCAGGTTTTCTCAAAAAAGAGTCAGAGATTAACCACAACAAAATCCCCTGTAACACAATTTCCATGCGATGGGCTTTCTGGGTCCTAGCTCAATGGATCTATCCAGCAACCTGAATTTTTAACAAGGAGTTTCTTATGTAATCTCAAGTTTGCAAACTATGGACAGCCTACTTTCTAATGGCTGCATTACCATAATTAAATTCCAAAGTATAAACCATCAGATATTGTTAAAACCATTTCTTTATTGGTGAGTGTTGTAGTTGTTTTAAAATTTTTCTCTCTATAAATAGTACTTAATTAATGTCCTGATGTACATTGCTTTCATTTTTATAGGATGGATTTCCCAAATCAGGATTATTGGTTCTAATTTTAGATATTGTACATTGTAGGGTCTATTGGATAGTGTAAACTTACTTGAAAAGGTTGCAGAAATTCCCAATCTAACTAACCAGCAGAATAACAGGTATGTAAGTGCTGGGCATTGAAACATGTTTTTCCAACTTGATAGGACTAAAATGTTCTTTATTTTTTGTAATACATATTGTCTTGACTTCTAGTGCAGTTCAGAATTTTTCTATGACCTGTTTGCATTCCTCTACTCGGGGAGTGTGAGGATGTTCCCCAGCTGACAATGGCAGGGCTGAGAGTATAAGCCAACACTCACACCGAGTCAGTTTCCTTGTTACCAGGACCTTGGTCCTAAGCTCTACCTTCTTCTCAAATCCCTGCCTCACTTTTCTTCAGGGAACCCATTAAAACCATTAATTATTTTTTACCATTCTGGCCAGACCCTAAGTTTTCCTCTGGAAATATAGTCATTTGTCATTTGTTTTGCTCATTGGCCATTCAATAGCCTACTTTTTCCTTATCTATTTGATGTAGTTCAATGCCAACTAGGCCATAAACAATTTGTTTTATATAATATTAAAAAAAAACAGATTATGAAAGTTACTATTTTACTTAATAATTAATCCAATTCGAACAAATTCTATTAAATGTTAATCATATTAACCATTTAAAACAAGCAATGCTATTTTTAGTTTTTTCCTTTTTTGCTGCCTTTAGAAATATGCTTTATTTAATAGCATGCATTTTCAATATAATGCTATAATAAATTAACTGCAAAAAAGCCACTAATGAACGTTATCTTACTTTATTAAATAACAGCAAAGAGACTATAAAGATTTAAATAGCTTTACATGCAATTTAAAAACTTTCCAAACTCAGAAATGGATTTTTTTTTTGGAGGAGAGGGGTGGCTTTCTCTCAAGAGCTCTTATTTCAGAGCCCAAAGGGGATTTCAAAATACAAGTAAATAAGTGTCAAAGCCTCTTGGCCTCTGCTCTGCCATTCTATGCCTGAAATACTGCCAAAATGAAATTTTCCATTCAAGAAAGACTGGCATTTACTAAGCTGATTTTTTAAAGACTCACTTTCAATAGTAGTGGAAACTTTGTGAAACTTTTGACATCCCTCTGTGTGGATAGAACGGCCTCCTCTGTAGACATTTTTCACAACGTCAACATTTAAAAAAAATTTTTTTCAGCCCATCCAATGTCTTCAGCCACTAGGTCTACTGTTTTTTCTCAGTGCAAGCATAGAAGATAAATAGCAACCAAACTACCAGCCACTGTCTCATTAAGCGTCAGACCACAAAAAGGACAGAGAAAAGATAAAAAGTGGGGAAGAGGGAGGGGCTTGATCCAAGAATTCCCTTGCTAGAGGGGAACCTTTATTTCAAAATTTAATGCAATTTTAACACAACTGCGCTGTAGAGATTGGCTGTCTGCTTACTCAAATAACATCATTGTCTGTTACTGTTAAGATCAAATGGTTAAAGGCTGAGTTCGTTTAAAGGATCCAAAGGGGAACGTGGAGTCCCTGCAGTAGGTAGTAAAATCGGAGGAGTAGTGGGCCTCTGCTGTTTGGCCAGTCCGCCGCTGGTGGGGAGGAGTGCTCTAAGGGGACTCTGTGAGTGTGGATTAGGGAGATGAAAACTAAAACTGTCAGCTAGCTAACCTGCAGTATTGCTGAAAGAAACTTTGAAAAGTTAACAAGGACCTGTGGGGTGAATCAAAGGTAGAAATGAAAATTACAGAATGTTAAGTGGGAAAAAATAGAAATTCATCTAGAACGGAACTGTTTACACTCCCAAAAGCAATGACGTGAGGCATGAAGCAAAAGTTACAATTTGCAGGGCACCCTGGAATTATCCCCCTGAGAGCCTTTCTTTAATTAATTCTAGCCCCCCACCCCCGCCCCACAAAATGTTGCCCCCAGACCTAATGCTCCTTTTTCTCATCTTCTAATATTCTGGGACAGGACAAAGAGAAGGCTGCAAGGCAGAAAAAAGTTTTTCTGGTTTGGGAAACTTGGGGCCTTTTGGTCATTTCCCCTGCCCCACCACGCCCCCAAACACGTGACCAAGAGAGGCCGGAATTTTGTGAATGGAGCTGGAAGATGGCTACAAGGGCGGGAGGGGATCCGCCCCTTTCTCCAAAGCCGCCAATCTCCTAACGGAGCGCTGCAGGGTCAGCAATAAACAACAGTGGGCTGGGAAAATACGCTATGTTATTGGCTGCGGACAGGAACCTCATGGGGTGGGGAAGTGGGGGCGGAGTGGGAGAAGGCGGCTAAGCTGAAGCTCCGCCTCTTCCCGGTTACCCTGGATACCTGTCAGGCTCCAGCCCCCGAGAAGGTCTTTGGAAACTGTTGCTCAGATTACAGCGGCTGAGTTATCCCCGGAGTGCTGGGCGGCGGGACACCCTTGCTGTTGGCTCTCCGCCTGGCTGCACCCTCCGAAAGTACCCAAAGCCTCACTACCCCAGCCTTGGGGCCCGGGCTGCGCCCGGAAGCCCTCCCTGGCTGAGGTTAAAGTGCAGTTCCCGCTCAAAGTGCTTGTAGGTGCTCATTCGCACAGGCTACTCTGATTTACTAGTTTCAGGGAATGCACGGTGTATGCCCTTGTTCTCCGTAATTATTGGGCGTTTCTCTAGTAGTAAGTTTTTCTAAAATTTCTGTAAGACTTTTTTTTTTTTTTTTTTTACGTAGATCTTTCTTCTTCTGGTTCCTGGGGAGTCTTGCTCATACTCCATTTTAATGTGTCTCCATACCCTTCCATTTCAGGAAGGAAAGTTTCAAATAGAAATTGAGAACTGAAGCGTGTTTCCCAATGGGCAGAACAGCTGCCGGAAACGTATTTTGGTCTGTAGCTCTGGTCGTTACCGGGATCACAAGTGAATGTCAGCACTGTTGAGTTCCTGGTCCCAGCCCCGCGGCCTCCCGAGCCCTGTTGGGCTGCGGCTTAAGTTCTACAGCTCCAAGCCCCACAGGAGGGTGAGGGCAAGTGGTTTCAGAGCCGCAGCCCTCACTTTTTAACGTCCCAGTCATTGTCCTTGATACCCGAACCCCCTCACCGCTAGTCCCCCAACTCCCGGCAGGGGCTGCGTGAAAGCAGAAGAGGAAGTGAAAGCATAAAGTACAGTAAGTGACACCCTCCATCTCCGTGTATACATAACAAAAGCTCAGGAAATGTGCGGGTCCTTAGGATATCTGAGCCACCTCATCCCCTCCCTGCTCCGCCCCACCTCCACAGAGGGATGGAAGCACCTTATCCCAGTGCACACCTTGGGGAAATTTGATTTTTATACTTTTCTTTACCTAGATCGCACCGTAGTTCTTCCAGTGCTCCCTCCCAACACAATCCTTCCTAACATGCAATTCCCCCCCACCCCTGGTGCTTTCCCACGGATGCTTTATTTTACTGTCCCATGAATGATTTGGATCTTGTATTACTTGAGGAAGGCCACTAAAAACTGTTTTGATAAACCATAATGATGGTTGGCGTGTGTTAAAAAAAAAACGGCAAAAGAACTTGGGCCAAAAACTTAATGGGAGCGAAGCTACGGATAGGTGGGCTCCTCATCAGGTTAAAAGTGGGAGGTGAGGGTGGGGGAGGTTGGCGTTCTTGAGGGAGGGGAGGAGGCAGGGGCGTGAGGAGGCACGGGCTTAGTAGATCGCCCTTCAGAGTATATACCTGAACCGAACAAAAGTACTGTAGGAAATCAGCCCAAGAATGGACCAAAGACACCAGTAAGGACAACTGGCGACTCGGTACACATGCATGGATTCAGTGTCCCCGGGCGCCTTAACAATAAGCAGCGGATTCGGAAGGCAGTCGTTTTCCTCCACGGCATTTCCAAGCTTTGGACCCTGCGCCAACCCGCCGAGCACCAGCCTGGGAAGAGGGGCGCGGGAGATCCTGCAGAAGGGGCAGCAAGCTGCCTGATTGACAGCCCGAAATCTGATCTTGTGAAAGAGACGCGGAACCAATGGGAGGCAGCGATCCATCAGTTTGGATTGGAGGCCCCTGGAGGAGAAGTAGAGGAAAAACCACCGAATTGAGCTCTGTCAGAGGCGCTTTCGGCTTCCAAGGGGGACGTGCTGGGCAATAATTAATGTTTTTATTAAATTTGGAGGGAATTTTTTTGCAGCAGTTTGCCTAGCGTGGCCTTCAGGTGGGTCTTTCCAACAACTTTTTATGTCTCTCCAGATAATTGCATGGTTGTGGGTTGCAAAAACTATCCTTATGAAAGAGGTGTCTCCGTCTCTAGTCCCGTTAGGTGCAAAGCAAGTCTCGTTGATCGCCATTGCTAGTTTTGCACACGTTTGCGAATCAGAGCTTCCCGGGATACACCGACCTCGCAGGGAAACATCGAGAGTGTAAAAATAAATACATAGCCTCTAGTTCGGATTTTTGCTACAGCCGAAAATATGTAAATTGTGAACTCTCTGGGCTTTCTTTGGATCCAGGTGAAGGAGGCGGTGTATGGAGGGTTATTTTTGTGAATGGGACAGTCGGTGGGTAATTAGCTATGCAAATTAAAGAGCTTCATTCATGATTTTTTTTTTTTTAGCCTAAAAGCCATTTTGTTCCCCTCTAGGTTGATAGAAGTCCAGATCCCGAGGAAATCTCCAGCTAAATGCTGAAAATATAAAACACTGAGCTGAGATTTGTGAAGAGCAGCAGAATGGATGGATTTTATGACCAGCAAGTGCCTTACATGGTCACCAATGTGAGTGATCAGTTCGAGGGTTGCTGTTTATAAACTTGACTGGGGGTGGGGGGGGGCGGGTGGATAAGGGAGGAGGTAAGGGGGTTGGGATTGCAGATACTTTATCTGCTTTGTTGCCACTGTAGGGCGACTCTGCTTCTACAAGCCCAGTCTTCAAAATGAGCTTACCTTTCAGTGATTTGGATAAGGCACAGTTTTGTTTTTAAGACCCCCTTTTCTGATTAAAGGGCCCAAGATGAGTGGAAGAGGAGATGGAGGGCAGCAGCAGCTGCTGCACTCAAAGTTTTTGGCTGGGTTTGTCTGCCACATTGAAAAGAGTGAAGTTGAGACAAATGCTGACACTTTTTGTTTACATGGGCTGTTTTTGTTTCTTTTCCCCCCTCATTTTCTCTTATATGTTTCATTTTACCACTCTTCTCTGCTTTTTTTCTTTATTTTTTCGAGTGGGGAGTATGAGAATAAAATTCACTGTATTTTAATCTAGCTTTGATCCAGCCTAAAATCGACTTTAAGTGTAATTGCTTAATGATGTTTTGATGCTGAGATAGCATGAATATATGACTAATAAATAGTATGCTAGGATCGGCGCTGGGAAGCAACACTTCCTGGCTGTTCAATGCTCAGCATAAGCTTTCACTGTGAAATGAATGCAGAAAGTGAATATTAGAATTGATACTATGGACTTTAATTTTTCTATTTAGAGAGAGGATCCTGTAGATGTATGTATGCATGTATTTTTCTGTGTGTGACTTTTGAGGTTTACATTCTTTTAAAGGATTTTATCTTTCCCTTTGTAGAATCAGCGTGGGAGAAATTGTAACGAGAGACCAACAAATGTCAGGAAAAGAAAATTCATTAACAGAGATCTGGCTCATGATTCAGAAGGTGAGGTTTGATTCTGGGCTGAATCCCCCCTCTTTATCTATATCCCCACTCTCATTAAAGAACAGGAGCACTTCAATCTTAGCTTAAAAGTAATAAACATTCACATTGCTGTATTTAACTAAGACTTTTACTTGGAACAATTAACATAATGTGACAGTTTGCACTGGAGGATATTTTATGGCCCCATCACAAACTAATGAAAGAAGGAAGCAAAAAGTTAAGTGACATCCTTCTTTTATGTTTAATACCCTCGTCCATATGGCATATAGCTAATCCCATACACTAAGGTAACAATTTTAAAATATCCAACACAGTGGGACAAATTGAGCAACTATGTGTACTGCTACAACAATGTAAATGATTATTTAATTTTCCATCCCCTCTGCACAAAAACCGTATACAGTTATCAAACTTTTCATGGATGATTTTGATGACTCCGTGGTGAGGCCATAATATTGTTTTATAGGTCTTAAAGTGTTCACTGAATTATAATTAAGGCCTAATTAATAATTTTAATACTTATTTGGAAAATTAGGCTACAGATTCTTTTTATGAACTGTTGGTAGGAAGTCAATACATTATAAATTATTCCAGCCATATTGAAGCATTAATAATAAACTTAAGATACTTAGATTTAATTGCCAAAGATACTTTCATCTTAAGGTAGATTTAAATGCCATTAATGGCCAAAGTTCAGTTGGCCATTTAGATATGAGATATATTAAATTCCGAAACTTCCTCAAATCCTCATAATTATAGAACACCTCTCTCCCTCCCCACTATGACAGAATACAAATATTTGGACCTGATAATAAACAGGTGCCAGTGAATTATCTATCTTTGATTTTTGTAAACCTATTAATGTAGAAATTTACCTCTAAAAACTTGTATTTAAAAGTTGTTCTTTTTATCTTTGTGGCATTGAACCTGAAAATGTATATTACTTTGAGAATTATACCATTTGTTGTTACATCTTTTATATAACATTCAGAAGATATAAATAAGGTATTTTTCAGTCTTTCCAATCTTTTTCCTACTAATTTACAAGAGTTAAATTTATTTAAGAAAGGTTTCTGTGGACCTACCTTTACCTAGACATTTTTCGAATACTGGAGAATGTGTGTTATTTGGTGTCTCCACCTTATTTTTTTTAAGCTGTTTGTTTAAAAAGAGGGGGAAAGAAACATGATTTTATTATTTAATTTACTGAAAGAATTTCTTAAAGAAGTATTGCTTAATACCCATCAAAATGAGCAAGATTGTTGAAATATGTTATGAATTCTTTTTATATTGAGCGCCTCCCCAAACAAAACTGATATATGACAAATCTTATGACAAACATTTTCACTTCATGAAACCTAAAGGTTTGCAAATGTTTTCTTTCTGTCTTTGACTTGTTTTTTAGAACTCTTTCAAGATCTAAGTCAATTACAGGAAACGTGGCTTGCAGAAGGTAAGGCAAAAAAGAAAAAAAGCTTTAAAAGGAGGGGAAAAGCAACTCTAGAAGGGGGAGGAAAAGTCCTGAACTTGCTGTCTTAATGTTCAGCCCAATTAATTGAGCTCTAAAAGAGCCACCTCATGTGTCATGCATACATTAGAGCCTCTGATGAGTTTGTCTTTGGGGAATCTGGGGCTGCACTACCCAGTGTCATCACAAATTACCAGGAGAAATTGCTTCCAGCTCACAATCACATCTGCTTTTGGCAAGAACTAATGCACCAAGACTTCAAGTTCTAAGCCTCTGTTCAGATTTTAATTGCAATTGATCAGGTTTATATTATTGTACCTCGAGAGACCTCCTAGAGCCAGAACTCGGCTAGCTGTTTCCTTCAGAGCAGCGCATATCATTATTTGGTGTTCTGGTGGAGGACTTCTGATGGCAGAAATTAGTTTCTCTGGGTTCATCGGGACGGGATGCTTCAAGATTTAAGTGCAAGTGTCTTCTTCCCACCTTGCTCACAACACAGAACGATAGGTGTGTATCCATTACTTAGGAAGTCTATGACTCTGAAATAAATATTTGGGGGCTTTGAGGAATTTTTAGATGTTTTCTATTTGTTACTGTTATGTGATGTTTGTTGAAATTGACTTTTGCTATGATGTGACTTTTACTAGGATTCAGTTAATATAGCAAGGAGACATTTAAAGCCATTCCTTTTATTTTTGATTGCTTTTTTATAAAAATTTGTGTTGAAATTCATGGCACCTTTTATTGTGTAAACTTTATTTTATAGGAACAATGAAATAATGCTTCAGTAGATCTTTTTACAACTTGAGAAATGTCTAATGTTGGGGGACTTTTGTTGGTATTCACAATTTGAATTTTTTCTTTTGGATTTGTCCTAATAAATGTGAAATATTTATTTTATCTTATGATATGTTTAGTGGAAAACAAAGAAAATTATAGATACTTAAGCATTAAGTATAGTTGTCTTTTTTTTGCCTTTATGTTATATGGGAAACATGCAGTTTTCGGAACAAATTTTTAAGACAGTTAAAAGAAGAGAGAGGTTCTCTTTAAATGGAAGCTAAGTGTTGCTGTTGCAGTTTGGGGCTGGCTGCTGTGTTTTATCAGTGGTCTTGCTTGCAGTTGATCAAGTTGCTGTTAGCATGTAAAATAAGTTTCTTTGTTTTGCTGATATTCTAGTTCTCCAAAGAGCTTTTGCAGTCTTTTTTCAAATCTTTTAAGTAAATTGGCTTTCTTAGTAGCCCTTCCCAAAGGGTGATTGTGTTTGTATGTTAATGAAAGGTAAGTATTAATAAAAATTTCAGTTATATTTAAAGGTCATTTTGCTTGTCTCTGGTAATGAAACTTATTGCAGTAGATTACTTATTATTGCAGCATAAGCCTTATATTTCAATGTAACTTTTTCAAGAAAAAAAATTGTACAGAGGTTCTTGTATTAACTTTTTTCTGTTAGTTTGCAAAGTTGAAGGTTGTGAGATCATTACACATATGAGGGAATTTATTTGCTTATCCAAAATAACTTAAAATATCCATTTTAATTGTTCTGGAAGATTGGTTTGTTGTTTAAGATGCTTAAGTCTAATTGATTCCAAATCAGAGCACTTGCTGGCAGATTTTGAATGTGCATAGCAACTCTGTTCCTGGAATTTTAAAATGTGGAATCTGTGACAGACTCTTCACATTTTATAATCGATTTCGGTACAGTTTTTTACTTTCAACTTCTTTTGTTTCTTTGTCATTCAGATAAGTAATTTGAATAATTTATCTGAGTTTATCTTTTCAAACTGCACTGCTTATTCTTAGTCATAGTTATTCACATAGCTGTAAATCAAATCTAAAGATTTGCTTTTTATAAAATAAACAGAGAAGATGACATATATTTGGAGGAACATGGACTTTGACTTAGGAAAGAATTTATAAGGTGAAGAAGTTCAGAAATCAATAGTCGGACTGATGTATGGAATACCAAGGTGGGCTACTACTTATAAATTCTAGATACCATTTCATTTCAGAATAATATTTACATTTTTCAAAGTTGTTTACATTAATTTATGCTATCTAATAGTGAGGCGAGGCTTTTAAAATTAAAAAAATTTTTACTGTCAGTAGACTGTATATTTTTATTTTTAGGAATTATACACAATTATATTTGCTTTAGCATTTTAACTAATTAACATTTTGAATAATAGTAACTATGAAGAGATCTCAAAGTTATACTAGTTTATTTGTAGTTGGATTTGTCCATTTATGTCCCTCTGGGCACCCAGAAATTAAAATACTGCCAAATAGGCTGATATGAACGGTTTACATATTTCTTTTCCTAACGCTTTGTAGCCAAGAAACTGACTGTGGAATTTTAAAGCATCTTGACCCTTTTAAAAAAGATCATTGGCAATTAGCCAAGTTTCTCCCCTAAGTTAGAATCCCACTGGGAAATTAAACAGGTCAAAAAACTTGACCTGGGAGTCGAGTCAGTTGTCATGTGTCATGTGAAAATCATGTTAAAAAATTATCAAAGTCCCTACATACATGGGAGATATATATACTAGCATGTTTGTTTTCCTAAAAGAATTTTACAAATTAGACCCAAAATGCAACATATGGATTAGTCATAGGTAAATTATTATTGAGTTAGAAATGTGTTTTATTTCTAAGAGAAATTGGGATAAGGCAGGATGGGTGGGGTTGGAACTAGTTTTTCAATTCACTAAAGTTATCTCTAAAAGTAGAATTTCATTCTCTCAAAAAGTTTATTTCCAGAGATCAAAAATATGTTTGTGAAGACCGTAACTTTACATTAGTGTCACTTTCCAAGTACCAACACTGCAGTTTAAATGTTTTTAACATATATACCACAGTTTAAAATAATCACATTTTATTCTGAAATAAATGGAATAGGTAATGTTTTCAGTGACACAGTGGTAGATAAAAAAAAATAGAGAGTATGCCTATTTCAAATTTTCCCCTATCTACTTCATATTGTAAATGTAACTATGTACAATTCTTTATTGATTCTTTGTCTTTTGAATCAGATTGCTACTGACAGAGGCAATTTCAATTATTTGATCCCATGAAATAATGAGTTCAAATATCAATTCTATCAACATCCTAGGGATGTCTTATTCTTAACAATCTAACCTGTTTTAAGTGGTGATTCAGCGAGCGGTGCCCAAGAAATTCATAGTTAAAATGGACCCTTGTGTGGGGGTGGGAGGGACAGAAAGAGAAGAATGTAAAACTGAGTTTTAAAGGATTGCAGTTTTCTGAAGTTTGTTATGAAAGCTTACCTACCAATACAACTGAGGGAGAAATATGAAATTTCGTGTGTATGTAATGAAAATACATAACAACTTATGACCGTTATTTCTTGCTGTTGGTCTAGATGTTCTTGAGATTCCCCTTATCAGTAATATTAAGGAAGAATGTCAACAGTGATCTGATTCCATCAGGGTAAAATGATTTTCAGTGGTGGTGTAAGTCGGGTGCCACCATACTTGAGTCAAAACTTTATCTCCAAGAACAACCTTTCTACACCAAAGGTCCTTACCTCATGCAAATAAGACTGTATTTTTCTTTTGTTTTATGTGACCTTTAAATGGTAATCAAGTCGACTTAAACATAGAGATATATCTACTTTTATCTTTGAAAAGTAGAGATTCACTTCACCTCAGTGACTTATACTATTCATATTCAAAGTCATTTATAATAAAGTATCTTAAATAACAGGTTATACATATGGTCATACAACAATATTCAGCAGTCATAATATACTCATTTTTGGTTTTCAAAAATTATACTGTAACTTTTTTAAGGAACATAAATTGGAGGTACTGAATGTTTTTGTTTTGTTTTGTTTTCATGTGATACAGTAAGAAATAAAAGCTTTAAAGATGACATTATTTTAAGTGGTTGACATAAAAATGGAATTGAGAATTTAAGCATTAAATTACAGAAGCGTATACTATTTCTTAGACTTGATCAAGAGTCTTTTTTCTTTTTAGTGGGGGCTACTATCCTTTGTGTTACATCAGGAAATACTCTAAATTGTGAAAGAATCTTCTTTGTACTCGATTAAAATATAGCAGGTAGAGGAATGTATTACATTCCTAAATATTCATTGGACATATATAAATACTTTTCATCTAGGCTCTCCTTGCAAAAATAGAAATTGTCTTTTATAAGAATAGAATTTGGATTTGCTGTAGCATAATATAGCTTTTCCAGAGGGCCGTAATAAATGTTTATGAAATAGTGCTAAGCTTCCCTAATTCACTTACTGACAATGTATAATTTCTTGGAAGTTATACTATAACCGTATTCCATTTGACCTGTGTATAAGTTTGTAATTAAAATCATCATCATCGTCATCATCATCATCAGACCTCAGTAGCACTAGAGAAAATATTTGACTAGAAACAATAGCTCTTCTCATCTACCCTGAAGTTTTAAAGTCACTCCGGGTCAGTTTAGAGTTAGGAATTGAAGCTAGTTTGAGCCTAAAGACAACTAAAACCGTTTTCTTTCTTTTCAAACATACATAGAATGTCTTTTTCAAGTATAACAGATGTGTCTGTCATTGGACAAGAGCCCCCTTTATCTGTTTAAATATGTTTATAATTATGCATTAATTAATGCTTATACATTGGTACAAGCATTCTAATGTTAAAATCGGATGTGGTATAAAAGCAGGCTTAGAGGCCTCATGATTATATTATTCCATGGCCTGAAGCTTCGTTTTAGCATGAAACAGAAATACTACTGTTCAAAGGTTGATTTTCTCGTTCTTTTACTTTTACTTAAAATTGAAACAACTTCAGAGAAATCTGTTTTTAACCCTTTGTTCAAAGTGAAAAGCTGAAAAGTCAGCAGCAACCTGTTATAATCTTAGGATAGAGACATTTGAAATAACAGGCAAGAAAAATAAGGCATTTTTAATGGTTTTTCTCTTCCATCCTTTCATCTTTTTTTCTTTGCCTCTTTCCTTCCTTTTCAGTTTTGTACATTTAAGTTTCTGTGACAAGTTACCCTATGAAGTAGGATAGGTTAAATATAATAAATAGGTGGATTTCTTTTGTAAACTTGTCATTTCTTTAAATGTGTACCTTAAGGGGTCTGAACTCTATTTGAGATAGAGCAATAAAATTGTGTTTATATTGCAAGTTCAAGTTGACTTGCTTTAGCTCTCTCGAAGGGTGTGACATGAAAAGATTGTGGTTGGGCCACATGGCTCATGCTGGACTGTGTTTTTGTGAATGGAGGCAGAACTCCAGTTCTGCCTGCTTGTCTGGAGGAATTGCTGAGGAGATCAGCTGTCTCATTCACGGGCAGAAAGAATGACTCATACATCTTCCGCCTTGTTTGGCTCTAGGTCATTGTTACAGTGGATAGAACTGGTTTTAATTAAATATTAACCCCTTTTATTCTTGACATTTGTTTCACTGGTAATTTCCCCCCCCCCCGCCCCCCCCTCACTTTAAGAGAAAACCCAACAGGCGCCTTGTGTGTTTTAAAAAAAAGGTATATTTTTTCCTTGCCTGCAGCCAACCTATTTAAATGCTCAACTTTTCTTAAGTAACGATTATTATTTTATTTAAAGGCACACTATTTAAAAATTGCCCACCCCTCTTCTCAGGGAGTGTTAAGACAGTAGATTAAAATTATGACGTGAGAGTTAGTGATTCTGTGACATCTGGGTCGTGATTACTATTTTCTTCAGTTTCTCTATCATGATATGTGTTGCTATGTAGTAAAGAGAGAGACAGAGACCAACTTCGGACAATAATCTCGGTAAAGCAAACAGCTGAGAGTGCAGATACTCTCCTTGTAAAGCCGAAGTCCTGAGACTTGACGGCAACTTGTCTATTAATGTGCAATGATCTGATAGAGCTGCTCCAGCTATTACCAATAAAATCTACATGCTTAATCTTCTTGAAAGCCTTTTATTGGCCTTTTGGTATATGCCTCCCCCCTTCTCCTTTCTTACTCTTCCCCTTCCTCTTTAATTACCGAGTGTGGGGAAGCATTTTCATTCTTCAAAGGTACATTATTCCAAGCATAGTTTATAATAGATTGTTGTCGGGAAGAAATTTTATTTAAGTTGGCCATTATTGTTAATTTTCCTCTTTGGAGTTGGTATGACTTGTCACAAATTTTTAGACAAAGCTATACTTTGCTGCTTCAACCAAATTCCTGTGAATTGAGGGGAAAAACGGAAATGTATGCTACGAGTGTGGCCATACTTTGTCATTTTTTCCTTGTGCAGATCCAACTTGGTTTTCTGTTAGCTGCTTTCCTTTTACTTTTAACTTGAAATTAGAGGTGGACTTAAGCCTTTGTCTATTTAAGCAGCATGCTGCTTCATTTGGTCTATTCGGTTTCTGAAGATTAGCTTCTGTGAAAAATGTGAGTCATATGTTTTTTGTTAAAATTTTGTAATATGTTCAGGCATAAGTGTGAAGTATTTATTCAGTATGTTAAAGAGTTAGAACAGAAATAGCAGTTTTCATTCTTTTTTATGAATTGCTAGTATGCAGCTATTTTCTGTCTATTTGTGAGGTGAACTTTCTCGTTTCTTCTGCTCCTAAAGTTTTTCTTTGCCTACATATCCCAACACAGACCATGCAGCCATCAGAGAATTGTATGCCTTTCTTGAAGGGATACAAGTCCTGGAGTTGCCACTCTGTCTTATAGTAAGGAAAAAAGAAAAAGTTCTGGCCTTTGGACATTCATACTAGCGTATCTAGTTACAGATATACTTTTGTTACTCAGCAGCTATTTTTAACTATTCCTGTAAAGAGATATTACATTTTTATTAGGTTCTTGTAAATGTTGGCTTTTTAAAAGCATAATAATTGCTATGGCTGATAATTTTTGCATCTCAATAGTTCTGTGTAGCTGTTAATTTAGAAGGAAAACCAAAACATGTGGATATAATGGAAAAAATATGTAGGAGTGGGTTCTGTCTACCTGCTGTTATTTATTAAATAGATATTAAAAACATTTTTGTATTTTTGGTGCGGAGCCTTATTTTAAAGGGTACTCCTCCAGTTATAATTTATGAGTCTGTGAGAAAACTCAAGCTTACAACAATGCAAGAAAAATGTTTATACCTAAGAGAATGCTAACATACAAATTTCACCTATTATATTTTTCCATGTCCAATATAATTCATTAGAAGTAAAGACATTAAACTTGCATTGTAATGACTGAAGTATTGTCTGTGTGTGTGTGTGTATGTGTGTGTGTGAAATGGGAAAAAAGTGGGTATCTGACGTTGTCTGACACTTTATTTAGACTATTTTATTTAATCCTCACAAAAAATCTCTATTACCACTATTACACTGTTGAATAAATGGAGTTCAAAAAGGTTAAATAATGTTATACAGTTTACATAGCTAGCAAGTAATGATCTGAAGTTTGTATGACTTTAGTCAGGTGTCAGATACTAGTAGAATACAAAGAGAAAACACTTCAAATATAAACTTAAGAGATTGGCATCAGTTATAATTTGGAAAAAGTTCTCAATTAGTTTGGTTTCATTTTGTGGCAGAGAATAGGTTTTGTCTTTAATAAACTTAAATAGTGGTGTACAGAAGAAAGTTGTTAGAAAATGGATGTCAGATTGCATATATTTTGATAATAGTCAAAATTATCATTGGTTTTGTTCTTAATAATGTAACATGAATTTTATTTAGCCAAATTATGTTTTTTTGTACATGTTAAATAAGCTGGTAAAAGAACCTTTAATTATATGTATGTTATAATCTCTTTCATTAGAATTTTTAAATACAGAATTTTTAATGTAGACTTTTTCGTAGCTCATTGAAGTACCCAAAATATTTTCAACAGAGACCAATTATTTTACTACACTCGATCTTAGCCAAAAGGCCCAGAAGCGACAGATAGAGACTGATTATTTTAATAAGCATTCCCCCATACAGAATAAACTCTTTAAAAAATTAAAATTAAAATTAGACACTTGTTTGAATATGACGTGACTGGATAAAACTTTTTAGTATTTGATAATATTAGTAAAGTAATACCAACTAACCATATCCCAGCTAAAATTAATTAGGAAAGTAACCCAACTTCTATTTCATGTAGTCCGTATGTGTGTGAGTGTGCACATTTGTATGCATGGGAAAACTTGTTTTTGTAACATTCTGTCAGTTTGGAACCAGTTATTTTGATGTGTAAATCAACCATGATGAAAATATTGTAGAAATGAAAAAGTTTACATGGTTTGTTTGTCCCCGAATGCGTAGTCTTTGCTATTTAGTAATTTATTCCCTTGCTAAAAATAGGGAAGTTGTTTGATATTAGAACTGATGAAATGGTGATTTCCTTTTGTTAATGCTAAATAATCACCAGGAAAATATTTTGCATGCAAGAATGGAGTTTATTTGTATTGTTCTGATCATGGTCAATGAATTTTTTAAAACTTTATACTGTATCAATGACAATAATTTCGGAAACTTCATTGCTTATTTTGGCTAGATTTAGGGCAGACATTTTTAATTACAGTAGTCTAATTTGCAGTAGATAGAGCATACCCAAATCAGACATTTCTATAAAGCAGAGGGCTGTGTGTGATAACTGCACATTACTCGAAAAGAATTAACGTGGTTATTTTGAATGGGCTGCTTAAGCACTTGCGGTGGGTGAACTGGAATATCTTTTACTCCAAAAATACACCTTTTACTTGCAAAAAAGAAACACTGTAGCTAATAGAAATTCTATAGCTTCTTTTAGTTGGCATGTGTCTCCTCTATGTGTCCGGTGAAATTCAGAGGGACTGCCACCATTATATTTCGGACGTACATGTTTTCTAGTTGACATCAATGATCGCTTCTATGTCCCCTCCCAAGTATCACTGTCAATACCATTTTAAATAGGAGCTCACTGGCAGATAATAATAGGTTTGATCTCAGCCTAAAAAGATCTGACATAAAAGATCTCACTTTGATATTCCTTATGTCTTGGCAGTTTTCCTCTTAAATTTTAACTTTTTTTTTTCCTCCAGCTCAGGTACCTGACAATGATGAGCAGTTTGTGCCAGACTATCAGGCTGAAAGTTGTAAGTATAGTTTGACCTCATCTCTTTAAGTTTTCCTCTTTCTTTATTCCTTCTTTAATTCTTTCTCTTTTGTCTGTTTCCACTTGCAATGCTTGTTCTTGCATTATGCCGATGCCTTTTTAGCTTACAGTCATGAGGAGACTTTATTTATTTGTCTCTTTGTGACATCAGCAGAATCTCTGTGCAATCTGAGCAAAGCTCTGACCAGGAGTTTAGAAAGACTGAGTCGATTAAAAGACAGTCCCCTTTCCTGGGTTTGGTCAACACCCTTGGAGAAGAAGCATGGGGAGATCAGAGAATGTGCAAGTGGTTACTTCCAGTTTTCCAATATGTTCACAAGGAAGAGTCTGGATGCTGATGGGAGGCAGTCAGTACAGAATCTGTATGAGATGATTATTATGTGTAACTTCTAAAAATTCTAGGCCAAATAGTCATTGGCCTATTGTATGTATGTATGTATGTATTGCAGTCATGAACTTTTATCTGCTTTGATTTAATTTTAGCCTCATTTTCTGTACCTGGTTGCCATAACAGAAATGGAAGCCACCTTTAGCTTTTCCTAGGGCCCCCCCAGTGTTTTTCCTCTTGAGTCTTGCTGCAGGGCCTGCTGGAGGGTGATTCCTGGGTACTCCCCCTCCTGTAATTGCAGAGTGAGCATTTGGCCTGTGCAGACATGGTTGCCTTGGGGTTTACTTCTGATATTTATGCTTTGCCTTTCTGGGAGCTAACTGCAGCTATTGACCTGAGGTGCAAATAGTGAAGAAAAGGGTATAAATGCTGCCTGGATTTTGAAACTGACCTAATGCACTGTTGCTCTGTTAGCACCGTTTAAAGCTCTGACTTGTTTCATTTGACATTTTCACAGCAGGCGGTATCAACAGTAGCAAAGTAGGCTTAATACCTTACAACTTTATCAAACCCATATTTTCACACCTAATATCATCGATCTAATACAAATACCTGTGTTACTTCAAGGAACAGGTGTGTGTAAGCATTGCTTCTGTGCTTCTGTGTTTGGCATCTTCAACTTCCTAGGTGTGCAGAGTTCTAAGAGTTTCTTCCAGATTCTCTCCCAGGTTAAATGTTTTAGTTCCGCTTCATTAAAAAATGTTTTTTCCTATTATGTTAAAATATACATAACAGAAAAATTGTCATTTAACTACTTGTAAGTGTGCATTTCGGTGGCACAGTGTTAGGCAAACATCAACACCACTCATCTCTAGACCTTTCTAATGACTCCACACTGAAACTCTGTACTTACTAAAAAAAACAAACAACAAACAACTCCTCACTCTCCCCCGGCCCCCAGCCCCTGGGAACTGCTGTTCTGTCAGCTTGGTTTTTGATATCAGAAGAGAATAGTGTTGCTTGATTTCTGAATATAATTATTAAATATTCAATTTCAAGAAACCTACACAGCAATGATTTAGGCCTTATTTAGAGGCTCTTAGAAACTCCCAGAAAGATGATAGCTAAGGATGACGGCTAGGCAAGGCCTCTCCTTCATTAAAGTGTGGGAAGAGAATGGTCACATTTCCAGCATTTCCGTTCCTGTGGGGTTCTGATTTCTTTCTAAAAAGCTAAACCTGTCATCTGTGTGGGAGAAATCATCCCATTGAGTCATTTTACATCTGAAGAAATTGGTAATGATTCCAATGCTTTACCAACTGCCAGGGTAGAATTACTACCATAAGGTAATTTATTTTTTAATCATTTTCTTAAGTGACCTTTTTTTAGTTATTTATTTATTTTTATTTATTTATTTTATTATTGACTTTAGAGGGAGAAAGAGAAACATCAGTTGGTTGTTCCACTTATTTATGCATTCATTGTTTGATCCCCTGCCTGTGTTCTGATCGGGGATCGAACCCACAACTTCAGTGCATCAGGATGACACTTCAACCTACTGAGCTATCATCTTCCCAGGGCTGATTAACTCCTGTTTAATTTTTTTCCTTATGTTTCACTATTTCATCCCTTTGAACTCTTTTCTCTTGGTCACAGTGGTGTGATTTTTTTTTCTCTTTTTACTCCTTTGATTCTTCCCTCTGACTCCACTCATCTTCTTTACCTTCTCTTTCCCAGGATTCTGTTCCCACAATTTTCTTCCTGTTTTACATGTGTTATGTCTGCACCATCGCATAGAACTTTCTATGATGATGGAAAAATATGTATCCTTACCATTTGATACAGTAGCCACTGATCACATTGGTCATTAAACCTATGAAATATGCAAAATGGGACTGAAGAAATGAAAATTTTAATTTGCTTAATCAGCTCTGGCTGGTGTGGCTCAGTGGATTGAGCCCTGGCTTGCTAACTAAAAGGTCGCTGCTTCGATTCCCAGTCAGGGCACATGCCTGGATTGCTGGCCACGTCCCAGTAGGCAGTACCCAAGAGGCAACCACGCATTGATAATTTCTCCCTCTCTCCTTGCCTTTCCTTCTCTCTAAAAATAAATAAGTAAAACATTTAACAAATTGTTTAGTCATGTGGCTTTATATAGACTCATGTGGCAACTGGCTTCTGCCGTGGCCAGTGTGGCTCTGTGTAGCTATGCCTCCTACTTTGCGACCTCTAGCCGGGTCTCCGCTCTGCCCTGTGCACTGGCTGCCGCCCCTGATCTCCCACTGAGGTCTTGTGCGGTTAGAAAGATGCAGCACCTCAGCCCTCAGCGGAGGTGAAACAGCATTTGCACAGCAACCCCAGTCTTCAGGGTGCTGCCCCTCAGACAGTTCACTCAGTGGGGCCAACCTTGAAATCGTTACTTTTCCTGACCAACATTGCTCTTACTTCTGTTGGCTTTCTGAGTTGATGGCGTCACCATCCAAACTGAAAACCTTCAATTTATCCTTGGTCCTTCCCGTTATTTACCCTTAACCTTAAATTGCTTACCAAGCTGTCTACGTTTCAACATTATCTTGGTTTCATGGCTTCACTCATCTCTGTTCACTGCTTGAGCTCACACCCACATTCTGCCTGGATGGAATTTGTGAATCAGTCTTTCAATAGGTGCCCTGCCTTCAATCTTTCCTCCTCCAGTCCCCTCACTGTGGATGCATTAAGGCGTAGCATCTGACCTTGTGAATTTTCTCTTGAAACTTCTTTCAGGACAAAGTCCTAATTCTTGAGCTCTGCAGGACACTGTTCTATAACTTAAGCCGGGACTACTGTTTCAGTTTTAACTCCTGCCATCCCCACACCCTGTGTCTCCTCACTCTCCGAGTATGAGCCCTTCTAACCTTTCAGTTCTCCAAACAGAATGAGCTCTTTTATGTCTCTTTGCCTCTGCACACGTTCATTTTGCTTTAGCAGCTTTTACTTTTGTTTTGTAGTCTGGTGAACCTCCTTCATCTCCTTCAAGTCTTTCTTGACCTCTTATCATCCTGCAGAGTTAGACCGTATAACATCTTGTCTCTTGTGTTTATTATATTATAATGTTTTAGATACAGATCTTTCTTTGATAAAACTGTGAACTTCTTGAGGATTAGGAACATGTCATATTCAGTATGTCTGTCATGTTTTAGAAGCACAGTAAGTAAAATTGCATCATAATCACAATCAGCTTCTTAGTGCTTATTTCCTACCAGGTATTTTCCAAGTCCGAATTACCTTCTTAAGGTAGAAAGATATGAACATGCCTTAAAGCAATACAGACTTTCATTCTAGGAAAATATGCTGAAACCATGAATGTTTAACCAAACATTTTCAGAATGCTGAGATTTTATTTTACTTCAATTAGTGAATATTTACAGTTCAACAAATACAGTTCTGGGACTTATGACTAAAATACCTAAATATTAAGGAAACTTATAAACAAAGGTAAAAAGAAATCTAAAGTAGTATAATAAACAGAAAGTGGAGGGGTGCTTTATTTCAAGTTTTCACTGACATAAAGAACTATTGTTCAGATGATGGTGACCAGCTAGTATTCCGGGTAGAAACGAGGGAAATGGTTCAAAAAGAGGAATAGGATAGATGGACAAGATTATAAGGAGGATTTCTGGGTGGAGAAGGTTATCAAATATTGGAACTGAAAGCTTGTATCATGTCATAAATGCTCTATACAAATGTTTGATTCTCGTCTGTCCTGGAATGCTTAGTGGGGCAGAGGGATCCTATATCTGGGAATAGAAACTCCATTCCCCCTTGTGTGGCCCACCTGTAAGTTCTGTGGGGCTGTCTTTTCAAATGTGAATAATTAGATTTTCTTACATATTTCAATCAAATAACGTGCTTCTGTTTTTGCTTTTATTGCTGTAGCCCTTTGGTAAATGTAGGTTTAGGAGAACCAACTGCCAAATCCTGCTTAAGGCCAGATTATAGAACATACATTTGAGTGTAACATAGATAAATATATGTAGAAAAGTAGGAAATTGAGTATTCAGAAATTGTGAAATGTCAGTTGGGTACTCTCTAAAAACATCCCCAAGCATTTTTTTTAATTTAAAAATATATCAGTTAGAAATCTAGAATCTAAGGATGCACACTGTAGCTTGCTAACCATTGGAAGCTGCTGACTTTAACAGCACATACAGACATCTAAAAACAAATGGAAACAAGCAAGCTCACTGTAGTATATGGATGAAAGCTAAGAGAAACAATTACGTGGCTCCAACAAATTTTTTTTACAAACAAATCTTTTCATATAGCAGACACTCTGCTGGAAAAAAAGAATTGCTTTAAAATATGCTTTATTCCAGAGGAGTTAGAATGTTCTCTCTTTAGAAAGGAAAATTTTAAAAGAATTTAGGACATAGGTGAGACTTATTTTTTTTCAAAGTAGATATGCATTTATATACAAACTGAATTTTTTATATACAAACTGAATTTTTCTAAATCTTGTGTTTGAAGTTGAATATACCAATAAGCTTATATTTTAAGTGGTATACTTTAAATCTAGTTATATCACTACTCTTTTTAAATCTGCCACCTTTCATTACAAAGTTAGTTGTTACTATTTTTCTAACTAGTTTGTTTCCATTTGTTTCTATTAGTTC